GGCCTACAACCCAGGCATGTGCCCTGACTGGGAATCAAACCTCGAACCTTTGGTTCACAGGCCCGTGCTCAATCCAATGAGCTACACCAGCCAGGGCAGGGCTCGTTCTTGTTCTTTTGTTTCAGTTCCAGGCAGGCAATTTCACTACAATGTGGTACACTTATATAAACGATACGTGCTACAATGTATAGTATACTTCCACAAAGTGTCTACTACAAGGCAGTATACTTATCGACACAACATTGCCACATTTCCCAACCCTCTTTCAACCCAGCCGCCATGACCACTTTGGGGAAGTAACTCCTATGACAAATTAGAAGCAGTATTAAGTATGTAAAGATTTAATACCTCTATCCCCTCATCTTTGCACGATTCCTTTACCTGACTCAGAAGACCGATATACTTTGACTTGAATATTTTTCAGGCAGAATGCACCTACAATGGACTATTATTCAGCCTCCAAAGGAAGGAAATCTTGTTACAAGCCACAACATGGACAAACCTTCAGGACGTTATGCTAAGTGAAGCAAGCCAGTTACAAAAAGACAAATGCTGTGAGATTCTCCTTCTGTGAGGTGCCTGGAGGACTCCGTCAGCCATGAAAACAGAAAGGAGATCGGCGCTGGCCGGGGCTGGAGGGAGAGGGAATGGGGGGGCGGGTAGGGCTTTATGGGTGTAGAGTTTCAGGTTTGCAAGATGAAAAAGCCCTGGAGATTGGTTGCGCAATAATGTAAAAATACTTCCCAGTCCTCAACTGCAGACTTAAAAGTGGGTAAAATGTAAATTTTTGTGATGCATGTGTCCAATTAAAATAAATAAAAATTTAATTAAAAAAAATTAAACCAGTCAAAAAAAAAAAAAAGCCAGGAGATTTTACATAAAAACCCAGCCCCTCTGTGAAGGGATTGAGAAGGACAGAGGGGCAGCTATGAAACAGTCCCAGGGATGGTGAGTGCAGCTGAGGGAACACAGTCCATCATATATGTGGTAACTCTGGACCGTGCGGGGGGCGTCCTGGAAACCTGGGGTCGCTCTGTAAATTGTGAGATTGCCTAACCGCTGTGCTGTACACCTGAAACAAACACAAAATAATATTGATTATAAACTGTAATTAATTTTTTTAATTTACAAAATGAAATTAAAAATAATAAGAAAAAAATCCAGCTTCTTTTGAAGAATCCGTTGCTTCCGCACGGTGAGCCGATGCTGGCTCGTGGCCCAGACGGGCAGGGCCGAGGTGGCCTGTCCCCTCCCGCCAGGCCTGCCATGTGCCCCCCCAGGGCACCCCAAGGTGTCCGAGTTTGAGATCTTGTCTGTGGTTTGGCCAACACGGTGGCAAACACTCCCAACGTCGGCCCCCCTGGGGACAAGAGGTGAAAAGCCACCTGAAATCCAGGGAACAGCGGCTGGGCCTCCCTGAAGGTCTCCAGGGGACACAGTGACATCTTCAGAGGGAGGCGTTGCACATGCGCCGTGGCCAGGGCACGGGGTGGAATTACAGTGGTCACAGGAGGCCGGTGAGGCCAACCGTCTTCCGTCTGGGGCTCGCGGCACCCAACACCAAGTCAGGATTTCAAAACCTGTTGCCGGTGTCAGGATCTGCCTGCTGCTCCCAACACAAGGCTCAAGGTCCCCTGAAAGGCAGCCGCACCCAGGATTAACTGCCCCCACCACACTCCTGCCCCTGCTCAGCCAGCTCGGCCCAGCAGAACGTGGAGCCCCAGTTTTGGGGAGCGATCCTGGAAGACATTTTAGTGTTTTCCTCCCCTTTCCTCATACCCACATCCAACCCATCACAAAAAAAATTCTACTAATTTTTTCTTCAAAATACGTCCAGAATCTAACCACTTCTCACCACCCCCAGGGCCACCACCCACGGCCCAGCCATCCCTGAGGCCAGGGTGCTGCTGTTAAAATAGAAATCAGGTCATGACATTGCAAAGCTGCTCCTTTCAGCCCTGGCTGGTGTGGCTCAGTGGATTGAAAAGCCTTTCTTTTCCCTCGAAAACGAAGGTCCTCACAAATGGCCTGCCAGTGTCCGCCGGCCCCCACGAGCTGGCTGACCTCTCATTCCCCATCCTGCGCTCTGACCCACCGGCCTCACGCAGCTGGGGTCCCTCAGGTGAAGGTGTTCTCCTCCACCTTGGCCTTGGCCCTTGCAGTTCGCTCGCCCCTTGATAATAGCAGGGCCTGTTTCTTTCATTCGCTCGGGGCTGCATTCAGTGCGGCCTTCCCGGGCCACCCTGTCCGACCTCTCGGGCACACCCGCGCCCCACGAGCCCACGTCTGTCTTGTGTACCGTCTGTCCCTGTGTCGGAACTGAAACTCCACTGACAACAGGAGTCTTTGCCTCTCATTCCCGGCTCTGTCCCCCGGCTCTGCCCCCAGCACCTCGCCGGGTTCCCGATGCGCAGCAGAAGCCCGGTATTTGCTGAAGGCATGAATGAATGTCCTGTTCTGGTCAACGCGGTCACCTCCCGTTTGAATGAAGTGCGCTTCCCCCACCCCCACCCTGCTGGGATGCAGTCACCCACACGGAGGCTGGTGACGCCACACCATCAGACCAGCAAAAACCGGACACGGTGGCTGGCGAGTCTGCCGGGCAACGGGCTCCCCGCTCTGGACAAGCTCACACTGTATATACAGTGTTTTAACATTTGCCTTCTGCTGGCATTTGAAACCTGGGTTTACAGCAGCATTCAAGTCCGGGAACCGGAGAGCAGATTCCAGCCCTCAAATACCCTGCACAGAATCAGCACAGGAGGCCTCATCCTCACAGAGAGACGTCCCCGGGTTTTCCTCAAAGCCTGCGGGGCCTAAACGCCATCACCCAAACCGGCTCTGATGCCAGGGAGCGGGCAGGCTGGCGGGGGGCGCAGCTGCAGGCTTATGCGATGTGGTTGAAGCCAGGCTGCGTGGAGAACACCTAAGAACTCTACTGGTTCGCAAAACCCTGTACAATCATTAAATGGTGCGCCCTGGAATCTACGAAAGCAGGCCCGCCGCCAAGATCTGAAGAATGAAAGGGCAGTTGAGAAAATGAGGCTGTTCCCCAGCTAGGGGTGGAGCCTAGGAAGGCTCCGTAGGTAATTCTCCCACTGAGCGATAGGTCCAAGCGGACACCCCCAAACGCTCACTGGTCAGAACCCCGGCAGCCAAGGCTGGAGGCCTGTGAGTTGCAAAGCTGCAAAGAGACACGTGTGGGAATCACCGGGCAGCAAAGGAACAGGGTGTTTCAGCTCCAAAACACTCTCCCCTTGTCGTTCAGGGGAGTGCCCACGATCCTGTCCCCGGCAGCGCCGCCAGGGGACAAGCGAGGAGAGAACACAGCCCTGTGGTCTCGCGTCCAGTTCAAACACCGGGCATTCTTCCCAGGAATAACCAACTCCCTTGGGGCCTTCTAGAAGGATCTGCTCTTTTTGTGTTACCAAAATTCAGGCCCCTCAAAGTGCTGTGGGGGGGAGTGAGGGGTGAGGAGGGTATGTTCCCTTTCTTTCCTTTTTTTTTTTTTAAGTCATCAGTGCAGAATCCAAGGGAAAACTGGCGAACATATCTAACTTGTACCATATTTTGCCAAAGGTGGTGCCTGATGGGAAACTTGCTTTGGGGCTCGGGGGCACTCTAAACTTTGGGGTTGCTGGGCTAACCCTGTAGAGGCAAACCCTGGACCCTGGAAAACAGAACTGCCCCTTTCTCCTTGGGGTGGGGGCGGGGGCGGAGTGCCAGGGCCCAAGCTCCAGTCAGCTGCTCCCAACACTGAGTTAACGATTACCTACCACAGCGAGAAGGCCAGGCCGCCTGGGGCCCACCCCCCTTGCACACTCCTCCAGGGACTCCTGGCCAGGTCAGGATAGGGGTTTCCTTGACAACAGACATCAGCCAGGGCCAAAGGACCTACACCCTTTTCTGTTGTTTGCACCTGGCATGGAGAAGCAGGGTGTGGGCAATGCCCACGGCCCAGCGGGGGCAGCCTGCACTGATCTCGGGGGTTCGGGCTGCAACCTGCTTCTCGAGACCTGACTGCTGTTCTCTCTGCTAAGGCGGGAGCTGAGGGTACCACAGAAGCTGTAAACAACGAACAATTCGGAAAGTCTCCGCACCGGTGAGCGAAGCAGGGCCAAGGAGCATCGCAGGGGCCGCGGGCGCGCGAGAAAAGGCCGATCAACCCAAGGACAGGCCTCGGAGGGAGCCTCAAGTACAGCCACAAGGAGAAGGGCGGTGGGGGGGGGAGGGAGCCCAAACAAAGGGGCGAAATGAAAAGCACGCTCCTCCAGCTGTCGCGCGAAAGGCTCCCAAAATAGCTGACGAGGGCCTGGCAGCGAGCAGGGATTACGGCGCGCCAGGCTAAAAAGGAACGGGAAGTGGACGCCTCCTCCCTCCCGCCTTTGTCTGAGCAGAGTCGGCTCGTGAAGTGCTCCGACCCCCAGTCGGTTGCTCGTCTCCCGCCAGCGCGGGCAGGATCCCCTCCTGGTCCTGGACACCTCCAGCGCCCCTTACGGTTATATCTGGGGGCGCGAGGCAGCCCGGAGCTCCCCCCGCGCACGGCCGCAGGGCTGGCATCGCCCGGGCCACCAGTTGCCACCGTCCTTCAAGTCCCCACCACTGCTCCTGGCGCGGCCTGGAAGCTTGAGGCAGGGGACGGCGGAGCGACGCGGTCCCTAGCTCTTTGTGCGCCCAATCCCGGTGTCCCCAGCCCGCTAGCGTCCCGGATCCCCCACCCGGAGGCCGCCACGTCGCGGAGCCCGGCGCGCACCCGCCCGGACACTCTGGCACTCACAGTGGCGCCGCGGCTGGTCCTGCAAGTTGGGGCCTGTCAGGGCAGCCGGCGCCCAGGCCGGCCCGGAGCCCGAGGCTCTGCCGAGCGAGCGCACGACCCGCAGGTAGCCAGCCATCCGGAGCAGGCGAGGGAACCAAGCGGGAAGGCGAGATCCAAGCGCCGGCCGCTGCTTCGGCTGCCTGGCGGCGGGCTGCCCAGACCTGGGCGCGGGGAGCGCAGGCACGGCCGGGGCGGGGCTGCCGGGGCCGCTGCCCCATTGGGCCTCGCGGGGACTAGGCGGGACCAGGCCGGGCCGAACCCGCCCCTGCGCGCAGCCGGAGCCCCATCAGCGAGGCGGGAAGCACCGCTGGACCTGCGCCAGAGGCGGGCGAGACCCACCCGGACCCGCGCGCGAGGGTAGGCTCTGGAGGATTAGGCGAGCCGCTAGCGAAGCCAACCTTCTCTCCAGGACACCCCATTAAAACTGGGGTGTCAACGGCTGACACAGCTTAAACCCAAACGGCAAATCTGAGGGAACACCTGCTCCCTTCGCGTTTGCGGGGCTGAAACCCAAGGGCGCGTGAACCAAGTGCGCATTCTGCGCTCTTGGACTAAGGCCGTGGGGACCCCGGGTTCACTCTCGGCTCCCCCTTTCCCCTCCAGGGGTTGTGTAGACTGACTGGAGCCCCCTTCCGCGTCTCACCAGAAGGTCCAGCTGCTATTCCCCCCCACCCCCCCGCCCCCGAAGTCATTCAGCCGGAGAATGACTTTCCTCGGGTCTGAAGGGGGACGGATTCTCCCAGCAACAGGCCTGCGCGCCCCCCGCGGCCTGCGAGGCTGGGGCACACGCGCCGTGCCCGGTTCCAGATGTGCACTCGGCGCGCAGCCTGGGCTGGACACACTCGGCGTTCCCCCTGGTAAACGCTTCCGTTTTGTGCCCGTTTTCATCGAAAAGACAATAGTGGTTGGTTCCATCCTAAATCCCCGAACCCATCCCCGTCTCCCTCCACCCATTTTCTTGGAAGGAGACACCCACCCGGCGGGGGTTTTATGTAGAAAAATCTGACCCCCAGTCCCCCCCCCCACTCCGTCTTTGCCCCGGTCACAAACGCGCTTCCCATACACCCAACCTGTTTAGGCTTCTTTGGAGTTAACATCCCCAGATGGAGGGGGCCCAGCGAAACGACCTTGGCAGTCTGACTTCACCGCTGCCTTCTCCGGATCCCCACCAGGCGGAGCTCCTGCTCCGGCTCAAGGGGAGGCTGCCTTTGCCCCCGCCACCCCCGCCCCCAAAGTCCGAGGCCTCCCTCCAGTGCCTGTTCTTGGGCCAGAATGTCCCAGAACGACCTGTTATCCCTTCCACTCTGTTCCCAATTCTCTTGCTCAAAACCCAAGCAGAGACCATGAAAGCTTCTGGAATGTGTTCTCATGCCATCCTGTATTCTCAGTACTTGGGAGAACAGGCCTCCGAGGGTCAGCTGTGTCTGTCATACTATGGAGTTGTGTTTTTTTGTTTTTGTTTTGTTTGTTTGTTTTTTTGCTTACTGATTTTAGAGAGAGGGACAGGGAGGGAGAGAAACCTCAATGGGAGAAACTTCCAGCAGTTGCCTCTGGTATGTGTAACCCAGGCATACGCCTTGGCCAGGGATCAAACCTGCGACCTTTCCAATCGCAGGAGGATGCTCAACCCACTGAAGCACAGGGGCCAGGGCCGCGCGACCAACTTCTGAAACGTTCATAAAGAAATTGCCGCCCATCATCCCCAGGGGCGCATCTGCTCCTCCACATGTTTGCCTGGTATATCGGAGGCAGTACCGAAGCCTCAGGGTGATCCAGAATCTGACCTTTGGCCTTTGCCTGCGAGGGATCGGGAGGGGGCGGGGCAGGGGAAGGCGTGGGGGGGTGGGGCGGGCACGTGAATTCTCTGCAGGCACAGCAGCAGCCCAGGGCAGTAGAAGAAGCGAAGTCCTGGTTAAACTGCCCCTCACTGCCTACCTCCTGGGGCTCCAGTCCCAAGCCGGCCTTCCTCATACAGTGCCTGTTGGGCGAGGCAACTGGTGTCAGCTCCATTGGCTCAGAGAGGTCAGGACACTTGCTCCAAGTCACACAGCTAACAAATAGTAGATCTCTCCTTCATACCCATATATAGATCACAGCTCTTTTATTTTTTTAAATTTTTTTATTGATTATGCTGTTACAGTTATTCTATACCCCCCCTTCATTCCCCTCCACCCTACCCCCCATCCCCACCATTACCCCCCCTTTAGTTTATGTCCATGTGTCTCAAGTTCTTTAGATTCTAGATTTCCCATGCTATTCTTGCCCCCCATCTATTTTCTATCTACTGTCTATGCTACTTATTTTCTGTACCTTCTCCCCCCTTCTCCTCCTCCCATTCCCCGGTTGCTAACCCTCCTTGAGATCTTCATTTCTATATTTCCACTCCTGATCTAGCTGTCCTTTTAGTTTGCTTTTGTTTTAGGTGTGGTTGTTAACAACTGTGAGTTTGCTGTCCTTTCACTGTTCATGTTTCTTTAACTTCTTTTTCTTCGATAAGTCCCTTTAACATTTCATATAATAAGGGCTTGGTGATGATGAACTCCTTGAATTTGATCTTATCTGAGAAGCACCTTATCTGTCCTTCCATTCTAAATGAAAGTTTTGCTGGATAGAGCAATCTTGGATGTAGGTCTTTGGATTTCATGACTTGGAATGCCTCTTTCCAGCCCCTTCTTGCCTGTAAGGTCTCTTTTGAGAAATCAGCTGACAGTCTGATGGGAACTCCTTTGTAGGTGACTGTCCCCTTAGCTCTTGCTGCTTCTAGGATTCTCTCCTTCATTTTAATCTTGGCTAATGTAATGATGATGTGCCTTGGTGTGTTTCTTCTTGGGTCCGACTTCTTTGGGACTCTCTGAGCTTCCTGGATTTCCTGGAAGTCTATTTCCTTTGCCAGATTGGGGAAATTCTCCTTTATTATTTGTTCAAATAAGTTTTCCACTGGTGGCTGTTCCTTTCCCCCTTCTGGTACCCCTATAATTCAGATGTTGGAGCATTTAAAGATGTCCTAGAGGTTCCTAAGACTCTCCTCATTTTTTTGAATTCTTGCTTCTTGACTCTTTTCCGTTTGGCCATTATTTGCTTCCTTCTGGTCCACTCCATTGATTTGAGTCCCAGTTTCCTTTTCATCGCTATTGGTTTCCTGTGCAATTCCATTCATTTCAATTAGTTTTGCCTTCATATGTTTGTCTAATTTGTGGCTATAATCAACCAGTTCTGTGAGGATCCTGATGACCAGTGTTTTAAACTGTGCGTCTGAGAGTTTTGCTATTCCTTCATCGCTTAGATTTATAGGCTCTGGGGCTTTGAGATCTTCTTGAGCCATTTTTGGTCTGTTCGGGCCCTTTAAGTGTGAGGAGCGCCGCCTTGGACTCCCAGGTCGCTGGGTTGTGACGCTGCATGTGGGGGCGGGGTCAGAGCGGGGAAATGGCGGCACCCTCCGCTGCTGCTCGCTGAGGGGACCCGCTGGGTCCCGTCCAATCGCCCACTCCCTCTCTTGTCTATCCACGCACAAATGTGAGACCACAGTCAACCGCAACCCTGCTCCCTCGCTGTTTCCCCGAGGTCGCTGGGTCTCTCACTAGGTCCAACCCTGCGCCTGGATTCCACACGCTTGAGTCCGTCTGACCAAGTTTTCCTGTGCAATCCCGCTCCTCCAGCTGCTGGTTTCGCCCCTCTTACCGGTCAGTCTGAAGCATTTGTTGTTAACAGACTTCCGAAAAGTTCAATTTTCTGTGTTCTGGCTGTGTTTTCTGTTGCTAATATTTAGTTGTCTCTAAACTTGGTTTAGTGAGAAGGCACGGCTTATCCACCTATGCCTCCATCTCGGCAGAAGTCTAGATCACAGCTCTTTTAAAAATATATATATAAATATATAAAATTTATTTTTTATTTTTAGAGAGAAGGGAAGGGAAGGAGAAAGAGAGGGAGAGAAACATCGATGTGTGGTTGCTTCTGGCAACCCAGGCATGTGCCCTGGCTGGGAATTGAACCAGCAACCTCTTGGTTCGCAGGCGGGCACTCGATCCACTGAGCCACAGCAGCCAGGACAAATCATTGCTCTTTGACAGAGAAAGGGAGGGAAGCCAGAGCCCTTATGTAATGCACTTTTTGGAATTCCTGGGGGTGGCAGCCCAGAAAACCACTCCAGAGACAGACGGAGTTTAAAGAAAAGGTGCTTGGATCCTCCGGTGTGCTCAGCAGAATGGGAACGTCCCTGCCTTCCACCTTCGCGATCAAATCCCAACCAGTCACTGAGTTTGGGTCAGGGGTGAGTCCCCTGGGAAGGCACAAAGACGCCCGTCACTCCGTCCCTCCCCTGGAGGAGCCAGACGCACGTCCACGCGGTCAGCACGGAGCAGGCACGTGTCCCAGGAGGAGTTTAGGTAACACGTCAGGCATCTGGCAAAGGGAAAGTCACCCCTGATGGGGGACGCCCATCAGGCTGGCTTTTCAAGCATCTTTAAGGTCTGCAGCCAGGAGAGGTGCGGGACTGGCATTTCATCAAGACAGACACTCCAGGGCCTTCGTTGTGTGGGGTGTTTGTGGGCAGGGGTAACATCTGGCAGCAGCAGTGCAGGGGCGTTGGGGTATCAGGCGTGGGGAAGAAAGGAAGGCCAGTGTGCCAGAGCCAGGAGCGGGGGGCCGGACAGAGCATTCTAGGAGGACCCCAAGAGGGCAAGACTCAGAGACGGCATCGAGATGGAATGGGCAGATCCCTGGGGAGAAGCCTGTGCCTCGTGACTCAGAGGTGTGTCCCTGGGGCAGGAAGAATGGTGTTGCCATTATTAGAAAATCAGAGCCTTAGGGGGCAGGGCAGGCTGTGGGGAAGGTGCTGATCTCGGAGCTATTTGTGGTCGTCTCCACAGTGATTTCCCGGCCAGCCCTCGGCTGCTCCCTCCCCACCTCCCTCCCCCTCCCCCCCAGCAGTTGCTTGCAGTCAGGTGTTTGCAGTAGGTCTCCACTGCCTGATACAATACCATCTGAACAGCGTACAGCATTTCTTGGCTCTCACCGTCCTTCAGCTGTAGCCCGAGTGAACAAACATGTTGTCTCCTGAAACAGAACTGCTTTGACGCTCTGTCAAGGTGATTCTGAGACTCAAGCCTATCGGTCCCTGCCACGCCTACCTCCTGAGAAGGTTGAGCTGTAGGAGTATAGTTGGTCTTTGCCCATATTCCTGGCCCAGAGCTCCTACCACCCGTGGATTTTCCTGAGTGGTAGCCATGTCCCTCATTAGTCATAAGCATCAGGACAGAAGCTCCTGTGCTCAGAGCCCTCTGGACATTGCTCTCTCTCTCTCTCTTTTTTTTAAGATTTTATTTATTTATTTTTAGACAGGAAGGAGGGAAAGAAACATCAATGTGTGGTTGCCTCTCACACTCCCCCCACTGGGCACCTGGCCTGTCTGGCAACCCAGGCATGTGCCCCGACTAGGAATCGAACCAGCCACCCTTTGGTTTGCAGGCCTGTGCTCAATCCACTGAGCTACACCAGCCAGGGCCTCTTATTTATTTTAAATTCATGCTTAACTGATATTTGAGAGAAGAACTATAAAGAGCTTTGATTCATATGCATTAAAACGGTTTTTTTATACTCCACTTTATGCTTTTGGTATGTATTGCTGATCTTTAACAATGAGATGGTCTCTGATAAGGGGGGTGGAGACTGTCCTAATATCTAAAAAGCTGGGGAAAGACTTCCCCCCTTTTCTTTTCCATCATTAGATTTGAGTTGAACGTTCTTAACAGGGCGACTCCACGGACTGCGTCGTTCTGCTGGGTGGCACTATGGGGCCCCAGGTGTCCGTCTGTCCTGTCCTTGGTATTTCTAACTTGTTTTGGGGACTGTCCTCTGCAGAGTGACTGGATGTCTCATGGCGCTCTGTCTGTAGACTTCGCCTTCTTTGCAACTGTCGACTCTTCCGTTGTGGTTTCAGCATGTGGTCAAACGTGTGAGTTCTGTGTGTTCTTGAAAATAAACGGGAAAAAAAATAGCGCCCTAGTTGTAAGATGCAGAGTTGGGCCCCTGCCCTTCATATTATCATGCTCGTCAACTGTGTCCTTCAAACCGACGTTCTTATGTCTTTACAAGCCCCGGAGATCTGTTGGTTTTGGAGGAAGGAAATTAAATCCCCCGATGCAGTTGCAGGGGGGGCTGCTCTTTGTCCGATAATTCCCTCCAGGAGCGCCGAATATATTTTGAAGTTATCTTGTTGTGTTAGATTCCCGTCTGTTATATTTTCCTAGTGAAGTATTCCTTTTCTCATGAAGTAATGATCATCTGTATACCTAACACATAGTGCTTTTTGCTTTACGATTTATTTTATACCACATTTATGCTGCCCAATCAGCTCTGTCTGGGTGGGTGTTTGCCTGACACCCCTTTTCTCATGCTGTTCGCTTCCGTTTTCCTCTGGCGCCTGTGTCCACCGGTAGCCGGCTGCTGTCTCCGTAACAGACTCTGGAAGGCAGCTGGCCTGCCCAGCTTGTCTCAGACTTTGAAAGTCTCTGGCTTTGAAGACGCATTGAAACTCTCCGCATGGATAGGGGGTCACCGAACACTGTTTACTTACTTCAATCGCTTCATCTTACCTTCTCTACTTGCCATGTTTTTCTTTTTTTTTTCCCCAATTAAATTTGTTGGGATGGCACTAGTGAATGGGATCATACAGGTGTTAGGTGTACATTCATTTCTTTTCTTTTGAGTGATTTTATTTACTTATTTTTTTGAGAGAGGAGAAGGGAGGGAGAGCGAGAGAAACGTTGATGTAGGAGGAAAAGTTCCTTCAGCTGCCTCTCGTGTGCGTCCTGACCGGGGACTGGACCTGAAACCCAGGCACGTGCCCAGACCGGGAATCAAACAGACCAACAACCTTTCCCTTTGTGGGACGATGCTCAGCCAACTGAGCCACCGGCCGGGGTATCAGGTGGACATTGATACCGAGTCTCCACGTTGCCCTGTGTGCCCACCACCCAGAGTCAGGACACCTTCTCTCACCCTGTATCAGGCCCTTTCCACCCACCTCTCCCCCATTTCTTCTCCTTTTTTCTTAGTTTTATTGGGATATCATGGGCACACAGTGTAAAGGTAATGTGTACAGCATCGTGACTACATACGACACGATTCTTTTTGCTTCTTTTCACATCCTCTTCCATTTTCTGTTGGATCGATTAAGATTTCTTTAATCTGCCCTGGCTGGTGTGGCTCAGTGGACTGAGCGCTGGCCTGCAAACCAAAGGGTCACAGGTTCGATTCCCAGTCAGGGCACGTGCCTGGGTTGTGGGCCAGGTCCCCAGTAGGGGGTGCATGAGAGGCAACCACACATCGATGTTTCTCTCCCTCCCTTCCCCACTCTCTGGAAATAAATAAAATCTTCAAAATATATATTATTAAAAAAAGATTTCCTTTTTACTTAAAAAGATTTCTTTAATCTCCCCTACCCCCTTCTGCGATTTGGAAATTATACATTCTACTTCTACTTGTTTAGAAATTAAATTCTCAGCTTGTTGTTCCACTTACTGATGCATTCACTGGTTAATTCTTCTAGGTGCCCCGACCGGGGATCAAACCCGAAACCTGGGTGTATCAGAACACCACTCTAACCAACTGAGCTCCCCGGCCAGGGCTATTACCAAATTTTTAATCATGGCTGTGTTTAGCAACTGGCTTGCAAAATTCCTGAGACTGTGGCAGCTGGTTCCCTGCACCTGGATAAGCCTCCTCCAGCCAGCGCTGAACCAGCCCTTGGATCCTCTCTTAGAGCCTGTTACCTCGGACTGGTGACCTTTGTGTTCAGTTCAGCACCTGGCAGGGGGACAAGCACCCGGACAGGCTGAGGGTACTTCTTCAGGACAGACACTTGTGTGTCTGGTAATTGTGTCCCCTCCCCCGCCCAGGACACAGCCCCAAAAGTGACCTTTTCCCTCCTTGGCTCTGAGCTGCGTTTCATGCCAGTCCACCTGCACCTGCCCCCACTCCAGCCCGGGCTCTGCCGAGGGCGCCCAGGGTGGGCAGAGGGGAGCAGCAGCCTCGGGGCAGCGGCCGCTGCGGGCTCTGGGTCTCAGGACAGCCACGTTCTCGGGGCAGGAGAGCCCTGGGCAGTTGGACCCTGAGATCCACTCCCCCCGTGTGTGCTCCAAAGCTTGGATCCACAGGACCGTTCCCCAGTGTCACCTTGTTCTTTTCACAGTGGCTGTCCCCTTGCACATAACAGAGACAGTCAGTCATATTGTTGAGGGTGACGCGCACTGGGTGCTTACTCTGGATGGACCTGCTGCAGGGTCCCCGCAGCCCGCCAAGGTGGGCACTGTTCTCACCCCAGCTGTGTGGATGACAAGCCCTGGACACAGGCCCGTGGGAGGCCCTGGGTTTTTCCTTTTTTTCTCAGCTGTCTTCCTTCACATGGTCTCCTCACAGCAGACATAGATGTAACTCATCTAGTCCCACCCGGGGCTCACAACATGGTGTTCTCAGCCTGGAGGCTGTGGTGGGAGCCCTGGGTTTGAGAAGACGGCTCAAGGAGAGGCGGGGCTGCGAGGATGGAGGGGGAGGGAGCGGGGATCCTCGGTGTGACCCTGGGGACCAGCAGCCCCTAAGAGCCCCTGAGGAAGAGCAGACCCAGAAGAGTCATAGAAAGTGCGAGACGTCTGGGGACACAACACAGTGAGGAAGCTACAAAAGGGACAAATAAATCAGAAGATGTCCCCTGGAGTTAGCCACCCCGGGGCTGTCCGGGGCCCCAGCAGGGGCTGTTTTTTCATTTCTCTGCCGGATGGTGAGGAGGCTGTGGCAGGGGGAGCAGAACCAAGAGCAGCAGGTTGAAGGGGGGCTGGGGGTCCCCCGGAGCAGACCTCTTCCAAGGAGAAAGGAGCCCTGGCCACCTGGCTCGGTTGGTTGGATCGTCATTTGTACAGCAAAAGATTGTGGGTTCGATCCCTGGTCACTTCGTGGGATATTTCTCTCTCTCTCAAATCAATAAAACATACCCTGGGGTGAGGGTTTTAAAAAAGAAGGAGAACGCAGGACAGAGATACTAGGCAGAGGGAGGGCTTTGGGATCTGGGTTTTAGGTTGGATTTTTGGGGGGTCTTGTGTTGTGTTTATGAGCTGGGAATACCCTTAGCAAATTTGTATGTGGAGGAAGGGGAGCTGGCAGAGGTGAGGCTGAAGGTGCCAGTGACGGGGGGGGGGGGGGGGGGGGGGGGGGGGGGGGGACTGAGCCCACACACTGGGGCGTCCAAGCTGCAGAGAGAGGTCGCTGCTTGGTGGCCTCTAGGGAGAAAGCAGAGAGGGAGGGGGATGGGTTGTGGGGGCCCCTGAGCAGGTTAGTGGCGGGTGTAGCACCCAGTTTGGGAGAACAGGATGAGGAGGCTGCCAAGACAGGCAGCTGAAGCAGGACGTGACACCTATGAAGGGGACAGTCCCCTCAGGCGTCCATTGCCCTAGAAGCCTTATCCTGAGACTTCAGTGTGGGTGCTGGTTCCCTCTGCGGCCATGGGGCTCGTTCCTCACGTCCCTTCCTGCCACCAGGAGGAACCTTCCAGGTTCGAGGGACAGCTCACCCTGACCCCCCCATTAAAAGCTGCATGATGGTGTCTCGATTTCTTCCCAGCCCGTCAGGGTTCAAGACGCCAGCTGTCTGCACCCTGGAAACCAGACCCAGCGTCAGCCAGCACCTCGATCTTGGACTCCCAGAGCCAGGTCAGCAATTTCTCCACTGCTGTGTCACGTGATGGACCCCGAGGCGCCGTGGTCTCCTAAGGTCTCCCCTGACTTGGTCAAACAGAAAAGACGGCCTTGGAACTGGCCTCTGTGGAGTCAGCTTAGTTGTAGACATTCACGGCAAGCATCGGCCCGTTGCCTTTGAACTTGATGTCTCTCTTCCATAATTTAGACCTGGGTTTCAGAAGGAGGAAGAGGTTTCCTCTCTGATCTCTGGGTAGCGGTGACACAGGAGCCACCTAGGAAGAGTTCTGTGATCAATTAGCCGGGTCTGCCGAGGACAGGGCAGGGCGGGAGTTACCCCTGGGTGCTGTGAGCACTTGCCGGGCTGGTCAGTGTCAGGAAGCTGGTAGACAGAAGGGTGGGCCCTGCAGAAAAGCTTGGAAAGGGAGGAGATGAAAGACTCTGCAGACGCCTTGGTTTTTTAGTCTCCTCACTGAGGCGTTTATATATATATATATGGCCCTGGCTGGTGTGGCTCAGTAGACTGAGCGCCAGCCTGTGAACTAAAGAGTCGCTGGTTCAATTCCCAGTCAGGGCATCTGCCTGGGTTGCAGGCCAGGTCCCCAGTGAGGGGCGTGTGAGAGGCAACCAAGCACTGATGTTTCTCTCCCCTCCTTCCCTTCCCCTCTGTCTAAAAATAAATAAAATCTTTTATATATATATATATATATATATATATATATATATATATATATATATACTGATTGATTTGAATGAGAGAGAGAAAGAAACATCAATGTGCCATCCCACTTATTCACACCTTCACTGGTTGTTTCTTGTATGTGCCCTGCCCGGGGATTGAACTCACAACCTTGGTGTATCAGGACAATGCTCCAACCAACTGAGCCGCCTGGTCAGGGACCTCGCTGAGTAGTTCCCAGTGCAGTGGCTGCCGACTGGGAATGCTTATGTCTATTTGGGGAAGTCAAGGCAGGGGGCATCCAGAAGGACAAACACCAGCTCTGAGTCAGCACCGCCCCCCCCCCCCCCCTGTTGAATTCGGGGCATGGTGAGCAGGGCAGCTACCGAGATTTCTGGGCAAGGCTCCCTGTTGGCACTCAGGCCTGAGGAGATGGGGGGTTGGGGGGGTGGGGGCTTGTCAAAATAGCCTGGCGGGAGCCACGCTGAGCCTGTCTTCCTGCCAGAGGCAGGCACAGGACGTCCCCAGTGCAGCCGGGCCTGTGCTCTGTGTACAAATGGGTTTAGGTCCTCTGCAGCCTGGAGCTCCCAGAGTCAGGCTGGCCCGGCTGGGGCAGGTTGAGGTGGAGGGTTGCTTTTTAAAGAAAAGAATACAACGTTAGGCATGGAGGCTTGGAAGGGTCCCACGCCAGTGAGGGCCCCTGAAGCTTCGGGAAGGGAGAGGTGTGGAGAAGAAAGTGGGCTGAGGATCTGGATCGGGCAGAAAGGGCAGGGGAAGCCACTGAAGGTGGGAGGAGCCCGGGGAGGAGGGCGTCTGGGCTGCAGAGAGAATGACAAGAGGCCGCTTCTGCATGAAGAGCATTCTGGGGCTTAAATGGGCGAGCCAGGGTCGGGGCTGGGGCGCTGAGCTCCGAGGGGCGGGCAGGGCTGGGCCCCCCACCCTGGGCCCAGAAGGCCTGGGGAGGGCACTGTTATTGCAGGATCTGTGGGCAGCCATGGAAGGCGTCCCAGGGAGGCTGTGTGGTGGGCGGAGGGGCTGGCAAGCGCAGCCACTGGGAGGGTGTCACTAGGACGGGGTCCTTCTAGGTCTGACCGTTGGGGAGACAGCCACCAGGACAGAGGGTGATTCCTCCCAGTTCCATGGAGGCTCTCTCTGCTAAGCCTCCCCCCTCACCCCCACTTACTCACGGTCACCCCGTGGAGCAGCGTGAGAACAGAGGGGCTCATGTGTGTCTGTTCTGCTGGGATCCATGCGTCTGGGCGGCTTCGGAAGTCCTGAGTCAACCTCGGGTCTCCTTAGGGGCGAGCACCCAGCATATGTGACAGGGTGGCAAGGACAGAGAGCTGTCTGGGAGCCCTGCAGGGTCCGGCTGCACAGCCGCCAACGCGCTCCCGCCTCCTTGCAGGGAGCAGTCCTGGCCTCCAGCTCACAGTTCAGCTCCTGGGGACCTCTGAGGCCCTCAGACCCCAAACTGGAAGCACACGGCACAGGGCAGCGGGGGACAAGGAGGGAAGAACCACATTGCTGGGGTGCCCAATGGGCAAGTCTGCCTGTGGAGAAGGTGGAAGCGGAAACATGGAGTTGTTAAGGGGGTCTTCAAGCCAGCAAGGGGGCCTGCGGAGGGAGGACCCGCAGTGGGCGTGGCTGGGCCCGGGGCAGGGGAGACCCGGAGGAGACGCCCAGGAGCCCCTGGTGGTGCCTGCTGGCTGGTGCAGACAATTGGGGCCGCACCCCTGAGTTTGAGGCTCCAATGGAGGGCACTGGGCCAGACCAGAGCGATTCTCTCCCGGGCCAGGAGAGTGTTTGCTCACAGCTCAGGTGAGAGAGAGAGAAAGAGAAGGGAAGGAAGCGGAGAAAAACCACTGAGATAAAACAGACAGACACCCGCCCCCTCCTTCTCCTCTTTACAGGGACCTAGCAGATGAGAGGGAACGATAGCTGGGGAGGGGCCGGGGGTCTCCCCAAAAAACCAACCGACCATCAAATAAAGAAACCGTGGACAAGGTCTGGAAACAGGGCTGGGTGCCTTTGTTCCAGTGATATGCTGGCCACAGTGAGGCCCCAGCCCAGGCCCCCCTGCAAAGGAGGGCAGACAAACCCTCCAAACCCTGGAGTGTGTTTGGAGAGGCGTTATGGTGACGGTTGTGGTAAGTCGGTGGTGGGTGGGAGGAGACTGAAGGGTTGAAATGGTGCGGATCAGCCACACTCTAGCACAGGGGTCTTGGTTGTGCGCCACCCCTCCTTCTCCTCCGCCCCCCCCCCTCCCCGGCCCCGGGCACCCTGGGGGAAGGTAGGATTGATTATAAGCAGGTACAGGAGAAATAGCTTCTTCAGGAGGGGCGGTCAGTCAACAATGAGCCACAAGGTGGCAGTGTCTACCCAGGCAGGGCCATGGGGCAGGGCTTCGGGCTGAGATGTCCTTCACCTGGCCAAGCCAGTCGCCAGATGGCTCCAGATGGTCCCTCGACACCATCCAAGCCCACCCAGCCTTCCTCCCTTGGCTGGGCCTCCGGCTTGGTCTGCCCATGACAAAGTGCCACGTCAAAGGCCTATGTGCCTGATGGGGAGGCCCTGGGTTTGGATCTAAGTGGAATCTCCCCGCCCCCACCCCATCTCACATGCGGAAGGATCCCCGAGCACCCTCCTCACCGTTTGCGGGGTTCCGGTGGGCTCATTTTCCAGTCCCCCTAGCCGGAACCACACACTGCTCACCTCCAGAGCCCCAGCCTCTCATGCCCTGGCCCTGCGTCTTCCGTCTGCCCTGCTCCCCAACTGCCCTGGGCATCTGCCTCTTAGCTGGGACTTCTCCTGGCCCAGGATGCAGCCTGAGGCGATAGAGGAGTGTCTGTAGCAGGGAAACGAAGAATTTAGAATGGAATGTTGCAGAGCCTGGTCTTGGCAAGTCCTGTGGTACCGAAATCCCAAGGACTTCTTTTCAGAACTAGAGAAATCCATCCTAGAATTCATAAAGCATCTCAAGGGATTCTTCACAGCCAAAAGGGTCTTGGGAAGGAAGACCACACCACGGACAGAGGCCTCACTCTTCCTGAGTTCAAAACGTACTGCAGAGCTATAGTAATCGAAGCAATGTGTTACTGCTGTAAAGACAGACATGCAGCCCTGGCTGGTGCGGCTCAGTGGATTGAGCGCTGGACTGGGAACCAAAGGGTCGCCAGTTCAATTTCCAGTCCTGGCACAAGCCTGGGTGGCAGGCCAGGTCCCCAGTAGGGGGCGCTCTAGGGGCGCTCTAGAGAGAACCACACACTGCTGTTTCTCTTTCTCTCTTTCTCCCTCCCTCCGTTCCCCTGTCCCTAAAGATAAATAAATACAATCTTAAAAAAAAAAAAAAAAGAAGAGAAGAAACCTAAAGTAAACACCTGTCTGCGAGGACGCGGAGAAACTGGATGTCGTGTGCCTCATCGGCGAGTGAATACAAACAGCATAGATGCTGCAGGGCTGCCATAGCGATCCTGCCGAGAGAAATAAGCCAGACCCAAAGGACAAACACTGTATGATTCCACCTGTACAAGATGTCTGGAGAAGTCAAGTTCATAGACATGGGAGACAGAATGGTGGCCCCCAGGGGCTGAGGGGATGCAGAGTCATTGTTTCACTGGTACAGGTTTTTCATGTGGGGGGGTGAAAACGGTTCTGGAGATGGAGATAGTGGTGCATTGTGACTGTCCACGGTGCCACTGAGCTGCACCCCTAGACGTGGTTAGGACGGTCACTTGCGTTGTGGGCCTTGTACCGCACTATGTTGGCCTCCCTGCCTCCCCTTCATTTCTTTCAGCTTCTCTCCTGATCACAACCCCTGCACAGTTGTTTAACTCCTCCCGTGTTTAACTTCCTCCCTTCGGGGATGCCCCTGGTACCTCCCCTTCCTCAGCCACGCGGCTGACGGAGATGTTTTCCTAAACAAAACTGTTCTCACCCTGCTAACTGCGTTGTGCACTCACCATCTGGTGCTCACGCTGCTCTCCTGAGACACAGAGAAGTCCGAGTCCGCCGCGCAGGCTCCTGGTCCTGCTGGGCCAGCTGCCAGGCTGAGGACAGACCTGGGGGCCGCAGGAGTGGATGTATCAGGGTCAAGGCCGCTGTGGGCAGCCTCTTGGCAGCCTGCCAGCAGCCCCTTCTGGCAATGTTCCGTCTGTTGCTGCGTGCCAGGCACTGTTCTAACCGATGCACAATGATACAAATGCAAGCCGTGGTGCAATGATAAATATTCTACTAGCTACAGTTTATTTTATTTTATTTTTACAAAGAAAACAAAAATAGTCACGGGGTTGTAGAGTACAGCACAAGGGATATAGTCGATAACATCATAATAACTATGGTGTCAGATGGTCACTAGATTGACCGGGGTGATCACTTCGTGATATAATATTGTATACCAACTGTAATTAAAAAATAAAATATTTTTAAAAAAATGAAACAGAAGTTTATTCATGTGTAGACATGGGAGAGACCCAGGGGGAAAATGCATAACTCTTCTACAATTAAAAAAAAATTAAGGTGAAATTAATTGAAAATGTATTCTATGTAGCCCACTCAATGCAAAATATTATCATGTCAGCATGCAGTCGATGTTTGAAATTATTAGTGAGCTATTCTACATTCTCTTTCCGTCTCGTCCTCAAAGTCTGACGTGAATGCTCACTTCTCGGAGCTCCGCTCCCCCTGAATCAGGTGGGTTCTGTTTCTGGATGTGGCTACTTTACTGGGCAGAGCAGTTTAGAAATGTCCCTCCAATATGTGAGCCCTTTGACTACACTAATGTTTTGAGCCCCCATAACCATGCTTTGTTATCCTCGTTTTACAGACGAGCGAATGCTAAGCAGCCGAGCTGGGATCCGAATCGCCATGCCCAGGTAAGCGCGGACCCCGAACCCAGTCTCCCAAACTCTGTGAAGACCCTGTCTGCAAATACACGGTCACATTCCAAGGCACTGGGTGTTACATGAATTTGAAGGGACCCCCTTCAGCCCATAACACCCAGGTTGCATTTTTGCGACAACACAACAACTTCATGTTCCCTATAGAAAGCTGGGAAACTTAGAAATGAAGAAACGAAGGTGAGAATCTCTGAACAAATTGAATGGGTTGTTTTGTGGAAGGGTCTACAAAAGGTTAACAGAGCTTAGATGTGGAAGGGAATTCTACACAGAAGGCACTCAAAGAAGAATGAGCGCCCTGGCCCAGTAGGTCAGCTGGTTAGAGCACTGTCTCACTAGCCAAGGTTGAGGGTTCGATCCCCAGTTAGGGAACATACAAGAATCAACCAATGAGTGCATAAATGAGTGGAACAATGAATCAATGCTTCTTCCTCTCTCTCCCTCCTGTTCACCCCCCCCCTTTAAAAATCAATTAAATAAATTTATTTAAAAAGACAGCCCTGGCTGGTGTGGCTCAGTGGCTTGAGCACCAGCCTGCGAACCACAGGGTCATGGATTCGATTCCCAGTCAGGGCACATGCCTGGGTTGCAGGCCAGGTCCCCAGTAGGGGGCGCTCGGGAGACAGCCACACACTGATGTTTTCCTCCCTCTCTGTCTGCCTTCCTTCCCCTCTGTCTAAAATAAATAAATAATCTTAAAAAAAAAAAAAAAAAAAAGACCGAGACCTGCCAGAACACCTTCCATAAAGTGCTGCGATGTTAACTAAGCTGAGTTGTAATGGGGCAGGGAGTTAAGTTTTCTTACTCCCTCTTCCTACCTAACTGGATTTTCTACCTTGTCTTTAATGAGCGCATACGACTTTTTATAATGGGGGAAATAGAAAATTGCCATGGAATCCCGCCCAGGAGGAAAATTGAAAGGAACGCTGAGCTCAGGCCTGACCGTGAAGATGAAAGACAGAGCAGGCCGAGGTTGGGACGCTGGTGGAGGCAACAGAAGATGCGAGCCTGTCAGCGATGGGGCTTTGCCTTCGGACCTGCAAGCAGGGCTGCGTGCCTGCGCGCATGCGCACGCACCGACTGCAAGGAGCCCGCTCTCCCCTTGGTCCCAGAGGGGCCGCAGCGTTTGCAAAGGATCTCCTGGCGATTTAAGATTAAGGTCCCTGGGCCCGGACTAATTATACCCTGGCTACCGAGGAAGAGGGTGCTGAGTCACGGGCAGCGGTCCTTGCAAAATTACAGTGGAGAACGAGAGCGGGAAGGTTGGCCAGGGTCAAAAGGCCATGGAGCCCTCCAACCCTGGGCGGAGCGGGAGTGAAGTGGCGGCGATGTGGGCTGCCCCAGGAAAGGGGGTGGTGGTTCTCGGGAACCAGCGTGGGCTCAACAGCCCCAGCTCCAGACCCGCCTCGCGACCCTCATGACACTGGTTTCTTGCCCTGGAGGCGAGGAAACAGGAAGCAGATGCCAGTACATTGCGGTCCGGTCCGAGGGGAGCAGATGGAATTACAGAGGCCCCTCCTCCACACACCTCCCGATCACTGGGTGGGTGTCAAGGTGACAGCAGGTGTCCAGGTCTAAGACCCAATGCTCTGTCCTGGCCAGCATTTCTCATCAGGTGCTGGGGATCAGCGATACCTCCGATGGGAAAGGTAGACCCTGTGCTTGTGGAGTGTGGAAGCCAGTGTCACCTGTGCTCATCAAGGACAGTGTGTTTTTGCTTTATGGGACTATAGGTATCTCTTTGACCTCACTGAGGGAGATACAGACCGTGTATCAATAACTTATCAATAACTAACGATCCATTAGGGTGTGAATGACAGTTGCCTCAGGGGCAGGACATTTTTCTAACCTTGGAGCACAGGTGTGGTCCTAGGGCCACATGATTGGGCAACTGGTTCATGCAGGTGAGACCCCAAGTTGCTCCCCGAGGCTCAGATCCATCCCCCACACCCAGGTACCTCCTCCCTTCCTTGCATCCATATGCTTCAGGGAATGCTGACCCCCACACCCCAGGAGGTACCTAAGGCGGGACTGGTCCCCCTGAGGGCACTTGGTTCAGAAAAGAGCACACCCAGGGCGATTAATATTCTGGGGAGACGAAGGGGTGACTTCAGGAGATAATATGTCCTGAAGCACATACTGTCAGTTAGAAATGTTATCAGCATGTAGCGGCCACCCCAGCCCCACGGCCCACACCCTGAGAAGCAGCAGCGGTTTTGGAGTGGAGATCTTCAATGAGCTCAGTGCGAAAGCCAGGAGGTAGGTGGTTCCTGGCCTTGGTTTGGTGGCGAGTTTTTATCTCTTCTTATTTGTAGAAGACGCAGGCCAGGGAGCAGGGGGCTGGGAACTGGAATGAAGTCGGCTACAAACAGAAAGCAACGCTCCTCATGTCCGGGGCTCTGGACGTCTGGGACAGTGCGGTCACCCTGGTTCTGTTGAGGGCAGGGACCCAGGGAGAACCCGCACCCAAGACCAACAACCCAAACGACACGTGAGCCACGTTGGTGGAGACAAAAGTTCACAGACAAGGGGGAAAAAGTTGCTGCCCTTAAGCAGATGGAAAAATGGTTAACGTCTCTCATAATAATAAGAGTGATTGAAAGGGAAATAGCTCGGAGGTGCCATGTTGCACCCAGCAGACTGGCAAAAATGGAACTGTCTGACCAGGTGTTCTGTTGGAGAGGCGGTGGAGAAGCAGGCGCTGTCATGCTGCAAGGGAAACCGGCACAATCCCTTTACGTCCTCATGGCGATGCTGAATCGAGTGACCTGAAGCCGAAGGGGCTTCCTAGTGAATGTCAATGAATGTCCCGAGGGTTTCTGTTACCTGGAACCAAATAACGTCCCTCCCACCCCCAAAGCTCTAGAGCCAAGTAGCTCTGTCCGGGAACCGGAAGCCCTATGACAGCGTCTCCCTGGTTTATTCAGTGCTGAACCAGATGCAAACAGGCACAGGATTTCCCTAAGGGCAGAGTCCCTCCTGGGAACTGGCCAGCCGAGGGAGCTAAGGTTTGAAAGCACTACCCAGGGCGATTTTTGGTCCTCTCGGGCATGAGAGGGGCTGCCTCTGAGGGCTTCAGTGTCCTGGCAGGAGACGCTGCCTGGGTCTCACCTGACCTGAGGTCCCGCTGCCTCTAGCTATTGGGTGCTTCTGATTGTCTTCTGTGGAATTTGTTGCTCAGAGAGCCCCTTGAGGGTTCCTGAGTAGCCCCAAACTGTGCGGCGACCGTGAACTCCACCCAGCTATCAGTGAGTAAATCGGCCTCCTGTCTGGCTTTCGAAAAAGCCCCAGTGAGGACCAGACAGGCCCAGCGGGATCCTGGAATCCCACAGTCTGCACACCCAGCATTCCTTCCTTGTCTGAGAAGCGGTTAGACAGCTGGCTCCCGCTCCCCGGCAGCACCGTTTCAGGTGCGGCGTGTTCTCACCCACGCGCTCTGCGCTGAGCCCCGGGGCTGGGACAGACTTCCGGAGTGGTGGCAGTCAGAGCAGTGGACAGCTGGCACCAGTCTACAGCAGCCCCACCTGCATGCAGGTCTGCGCCAACCCTGCCTAAGTTGTCTGCAGTGACAGGGAGGATTCCTGATTTCTGGAGTTGGCAACCAGGATCTGAAGGATTTGGTTTGCTGCCTCCTGAGATGCAGGCATGGCCGGGGCAAAGGCGTAATCAGGGGACCCTCCCCAGGGTTCTGCTGGCAGGCGGTACTCTGATCTCCCCTCACACGTCTTAGGGCTGCTAGGAGCCGTGAGAGTGTACAGGGGGGCCCAGCACCCCGGTAGTGGTTCATGTTTGATCGTGCAGCAGCCAAAAGGAAGGTGTGAGGCGTGTGGGGTCTTTGGTATGGACACAACATGCAGAGGAGGTCCAGCTGGGCCACCGTGCCTTGCAGGGTAGAATGGTCGTATCTCCAAAGACGTGTGGGTGTTGGCCTCCTCCAGGACGTCAGTCCAGCTGTCAAGGCCTGCATCTGTGGCTCTAGCATTTCTCTACACTCCTCTCAAACTGTATGTCTAAGCCCTGGCTGGTATAGCTCAGTGGATTGAGCTCGGGAACTGTAAACCAGAGTATCATGGTTCAATTCCCAGTCAGGGCACATGCCTGGGTTGCAGGCCAGTTCCCAGCAGGGGATGCATTAGAGGCAACCATACATTGATATTTCTCTCCCTCTCTCCTTCCCTTCCCCTCTAATAAATAAAATATTTTTAAAAAAACTGTACGTCCAGCAGGTCTCCTGCCATCTGCCTTGTACCCACTCTGATTATTGCTCTCAGCCTGAGCGTGTTCAGTTTGGGCTCTGCCGTGGATTTGCGGTTGCCTGCACGTTGTATCATGTGTGGATGTGGTGTCTGAGGCAGAGAGAGGCCCCTCAGAGCAGAATCTGTCTTGTGTTGCTCTGGAATCTCCTTCATCACATACCACCACCACCGCGGCCACTGCCAGTAACTAGATAAGGCATGACCTAACGGGCAAAAACGCTGGTAAACGGGCGAGCGTTACGCCGTAAACAAGTGCTCTCTCTGTAGGTGAAAAGCTGAGTTTCCAGAGCCGAGGAATGTGTATACAGGAACCTCCTTATTTCTACAGTTCACGGAGCAGGCGAGGTCTGGCCGGAGAGAGAGCTGGGAGAACCACAGCACACTGGGAGGCCTGTTGCGTAAACCACACGGAACATACTGACCCGGGGAGACTCTTCACAGAGCTGGCAAGTAACGAAAACAACAGTTTCGCGGCTGTCTGCCTCCGCGCACACGCAGTCAAAGAAATCAGAGTCAGGAACGTTTGCTTGGGCTTCGGGAAAAATCTAAAACCGTTTTCCCCAAAAGCCTCAACTGCGAGATTCCTTGAAATGGCAAGCTGTGTAATTTAAATAATTTATTTGTGTGCTTGGCTTTTCAGAAGGTAGTCTTAAAAGATAAAAAAGTAAATTTTTTTTTACAAATGTTCAGTGTTGAGGAAGACAAAGGTGCATGGCAGCT